TATGTGGTCAAGAATGCTTTTTTACGTTAAAACAAGACAAAAGTTTTGCTAATGGAATTTGCTTACATTGAATACAGTTAAGATACTGCTTTCAAGAGTGCAGTCAGGCTCAACTTAGGACCATCTTGCTCATCTTCACATCAACCACGTTTCCTGGTTGGCTGCCCTTGTGAACACAAAGTTTGTGTAGCTGGCAGCCGGGGCTTCTGTGCCTGACATGAACATATTATGGTTATTCTCTCTCACTGGTATCCTATGCAGCAAAGAATAGAAAAAAACTGTGTGAAACTGAGTGTTTAATTGAGCTTTGGACTTACAGGGATTACTTGTACATACCCAGATCAACATTTGAAAGTTTGGACATGTTTGAAATGAACATCCACCATTGGAACAGGATATATGACAGAAAACCTGCACGCTCTTTGGCCACAGCTTGCTAATTAAGCTAGCTAGCATGAGGTGATTATTGTGCCCTCCACCCTCTCATTCACTGGATCATCCAGTGGTCACATCTGACTGCAAAAAACAAATATACAAGCAGCCCAAATACAATTACTGAGGCTCTAGCTGACATCATGGTGTCCACATCCATCGTTTATATACAGTCTATGGTTACAACTTAATAAGATTATTTTATATGACCTTTTGTATTTTTATGATGTATTTTGAGATATTTAGGAAGACTAGTAGCAACTACATAATAAACAAAGATTACTGACTTTTTGGGGAAAATATCTTCTTAGATTTTGGGAAAAAAAATCACTTCTGTAGTCTCTCCTGGAAGGGCATGTAGCATAGTTATGCTTGGTGACTGGGTTTCACCAACTGGTGACATCCTACCCTCTTTGTTTTAAATTTTTCACTATTAACACTATTATTTTTGATAATAATGTTTGTTACATGTGTAGCGTTTGTTTTTCTGTTGCATTTAATCTGGTGGCTCCATAGGATAGTTTGCTGGTTTGCCAGACAAGCAAAGGACTCGTTACCCTTTAAAGCCGGTCTAGCGCTCTGTTTTGCGTAACTATTTTTAAATCCC